TTTTAAACACCCCCCCCCCCCCCCCCCGGACTGTGTGACACCCGCGGTCACTTTTGGAATGGCCGTCCGCGATTAAGAATGGGACATTCGGGGCGTGTTGCAGGGTACTGCAGCCATATATACCAGATATGACTCCATCAGCGTGGATCATAACGATTATGTTTCCAGCGGAAGGGCTAGCGGCAGCCTGCAGGCACGAGGCAGGTGCAGCAGCAACACCTCGCTGGTGTTCGGGCGCCGTGCAGGACTGTGGAGCACGTTGGGAGCGTAGGCGGCGCGCCAGGATTGTTTAGAGGTTTTCTTGGGTTTTGCCCCTTTGTTTTGCTGGCCGTGCGACGACGACATGCAGCGCGCCAGGATTCTTGCAAGGCGGTGTAGGGCGACGCAGGGCGGCGCGCTGCGAGTGTGCTGTCGTGGACTCAAATGTACTGATGATTTGTGTGTATGACGCTTCATTCCATGAGCAGCCGCATAACTGCGGCGCTGTGGCCATTCGCAGAGCGGCCGCTGCGCGTCGACATGCTCTACATCGGCACGGGCAGCTGAGCAGCACAAGCAAGCAGCTACTGGAGGTACCGGTACCAGCGGGCCTCACTATACCAATCACTGCATGACATCGGCCGCAGCGTGATTGTTCTCAATCGAATAGTGCGCTTATATTCAATCTTTTTTCGCCTGGCATGCGCAGGGCTTCGTGAGCCATCGTCTGCCGAGATCACATCGCCCGGCACATCATACCACACCGCTGCTAGCTGAACAACACATAAAAATGTTGCAGGCAGCGGCAGCGGGGCTGCGGGCGTCATCCGGGCTTGCACCTGCAGTGGGATGTGTGCTGCAGCGAGGGGTGGCCCTCTATTCCACTACGGCCAAGGAGGGCGACTACTCTCTCGTTATGACCCAGGCTGCGCAACTGGCCACGGAGACAGCGAGCGCACCACTACCGCCCGGAGAGGGCGGTGTCACGTTTGGCGTGCCGCTGGAGACGTTCAAGCGCAAGGTGCGCAGTTGCCCGCGGAGCTTCTCAAGGGCTTGCGCCGCCACGATTCATGCAGGCAGGTGTGCGGCAAGGGCCGCGCGAGCGCGGTTGGGGCAACGCCTCACACCAGCGCTGCGCCGCGCCGCTGCCCCCACCAGGCCGTCATCATGTCGGCGTCGCGCGTCGCGGGCCAGCAGGGCACCGGCAACACTCTGGAGAACAAGTCCGCCCCCGCGTGGCGCATCGAGTTTGAGACGCGCGCCAAGTGGCAGAACCCGCTGCAGGGCTGGAACTCGACGGCTGACCCCCTTGAGAACGTGGGGCGCTCGTCCCTGTTCTTCTTCACGAAGGAGCAGGCCGTTGCATACGCGGAGAAGGCCGGCTGGGAGGTGGAGGTGGTTGAGCCAAACCTGAGGCGCAAGGACAGGCAGAAGCGGTACAACTCGTACGGCGACAACTACACGGGTGGGCGGGCCGGCAGCGCCGCTGCGGTTGAAACGTTCCGGGGCAACAGCGCTGCGCACCGCGCCACGTCTGGGGCCGCAGCTCTGCCTGGGCGCGAGGCAGGGGCAAGAAATTCGGGGGCGGCCATCGCGACGGCAGAAGCAAACCTACGTCTTGTCGGACGCACAGTGCAGGCCCTACAGCCCGAATGCGCTGCGCTACTTTGAAGCAATACCAGCTACGTGCATCGGCATCGGGCTGTGAACACGGCGTAATGCACGATGCAACATCACAGCTCACCGTCTCGGCCCCCACCCTCTGACCGCGCCGCGCCTGCAGTCAAGCGCAAGGGGCTGCCAGATCTGTCGCATCTGGCGCTGCAGGGCAAGTAGGCTGCAAGCATGCTCTCCTGTTCTCCACCCGTGTTGAGCCCCCTACTTTTCGCCCCGTCACCGGTTCGTGCCCGCCGCGAAAGCCGGGCGCCAGCCGGCGCGGCCCGCTTTCATCTCAGGGAGTTCCCTGGAACGTCTTTGATAATCCTCCTCAGCTTAAAAACAAGATATGCCACTGGCTTCTGCCAGCACTGATTTGCGTGTGTGGTGGCCCTGGTGTTATGAATCAGTTCGTTACGTTTGTGAGCGCGTAGTCGCGCGTGTAATCACTGCTCCACGGATGTGATTGACAGGCCATCACTGCTCCACGGCTGTCAGTGGTGGGCGACGGTTGACCCAGGACATCTGGCATGGCAGTACCATTGTCTGTCGTTGACTCTGCGATGGATCAACCGACCGTCGGAAACTTTTCTTGAGTTGCCCGGGATATGCACGTGCACTTCTGGAAATATTATGCATGCGCGTCACTCGTCACCGTCCTCTTTCCGTGCTGCACGTGCAGCTGCCGCGTAGCTGCCACCCATGAGCTCCATCACCTCCTGCCAAAGTGGCTTGGGCAGCTGCAGGACCTGAGGGTCGGAGCACCATGGTTGGAGTGTGTGTGTGTGTGTGTGTGTGTGTGTGTGTGTGTGTGTGTGTGTGTGTGTGTGTGTGTGTGTGTGTGTTTGTGTGCGTGCCGTGCATGTGTGCAGGGGGGTGGGATGAGGGCATCAAGCAACAGGGGCAAAAGGCGGAGGGTGTGGTGAGGCCAGCAGGGGCCAGCAGCTGCTTGCGATGGACACGGTCCAGTGACCAACAATTCACTGCTATGTGGCAAGAGCGCAGCCTCACCACTGGCGAACCGGCAACCCAGGTACCGACCCCGTGTGCAACCTTTGTCCGCACTTCCACAGCCAGGCTCACCTGCTTCAGCAGCAGCGGCCGCGACGCGGCGGCCGTGATCCAGCCGCCCTTTTTAATCTGCGCTTCAAGCTCCCCAGGCTCCCAGGCCAGCGCGCCTGAGAACAAAGCAATTGTTTTGAGAGGGGGGAGCGAGGGGAGATCGCAGTGGGCTGCATGGGGGATAAACTAGATGAAGCCGTGGCGGGGGCGGCAGCTAGCGTCAAGTCTGGGGTGAAGGGTACGAGAGATTGGGCGGTGGCAGGCGAGCATGGAGTGTTTTGGGGTGGCAGTGATGGTGCGCGGTCACGCCCCAGCGCTGCAGGCTCAACCACAGTCCTACCTGCAAAGAACTTGAAGTCGTGGCCCGGCAGCTTCCCGCCCGCCACCTGCGCCACCGCCTCGTTCTCGCCTGCCAAGCGCCACAGGGAGTTGTGTGTGAGCCCGTGGACGGGTGGCCCATGCGTTCAGATGAGCAGAGTGACTTTCTCGCCCTAGGGAACCCAGGCCCTGACTGCCAGACCCACTCCTGCTGCTTCCATGACCACTCGTGCTTCTGCAAGTACTGCCGCTGCTGCTGCTGCTGCTGCTGCTGCTGCTGCTGCTGCTGCTGCTGCTGCTGCTGCTGCTGCCGCTGGCAGCTTGCCGCGGGGTCTTTCTTCCGCAGTGCTTCTAAATCTTCTTCAACTTGGTCAAACTGCTCAGCATCAGCGCTGAGGAGGCTAGGGATGCTCACCGCCTACGTACACCCCTGGAACTACCTCCATCGCCCCAGGTAGCTTATGGCCGTGAATGACGTGAATCATCTGGTAGAGGAAGCGGAGGCAGGAAGGGTGAGCAAGGGTCAGTTGGGGCATAAATGACAGACTGCACTGGAATGTGACGAGAAGGTGAGGCGCCGAGCTCAGGGGCGGAATTGAGCCAGGGCGAGCGACGGATTTTGAAAGGGTGCAGAGGTCAAGAATTGCGGGGAAGCATTGCTACTTCGCCCCGAGTGGGAAGCATGGTGAGATACGACGATGTGTATAGACTCTCTGTGGCCGCATGCACAGGCGCCTGGCGGGGACCGCAGCATCGACGCGCGCTCTGAGCCCGCAAGAGCGACACAGCTGCGCGTTGCACCCACTTGCTGCGCGAGGAAGCCGCCGCAGTAGACCCTGTTTTCGGCAAACACCTCCTGCAGCCCCGGGGGCCCGCCTGCCATGTCAAATGGCAGTCCGCCCTGCTTGTTGGAAGGGGGTGGTGCAGGCAGTGCGGGAGGAGTGTGAGCGGACCGAGCATGGCTGTGCGCCAGTGTCACACTCAGCTTGCTGCCGTTTTGGCTCTAGTGGCTAGTTTGCTGCATCCTCTTGCATAGACCGGGACTGCGGACTGCGGACTGCGACGCTGCACAACGACACATGGGGAGCGCGGCTGCTGCCGCGACTGGGGCCGCCGCACGCTGCTCGCCTGCTTGCGGCCCATGACCAGCCCCGAGGGCCGATTGAGGATTATGCCCACTGTCCCGGCTGCGTCATGAGATATCACCAGCACCACCACCTTGCATTGGGGGGAGGGAGGGGGACCGCAGGAGCAGAGCCGTTTCAATACGGGGCTATTGGTCTGGACATGGATGCATTATGCATGATGCGTGATGAGTGTGTTCTTGTTTCCGCACATGCTTGTGTCCGCACTGCATGCATGGCGTTTGCAGAATGCACGCGCGTGTGGAAGTGATACTGGTATGAAACCGCATCATCCCCCGGCCTCGCGTCAAGCAGCGCGCTGGCGGCCGCCCGCACCCCTGCTGCTCTTGTCGTCTGCGCCGAAGCTGCCGCCGCCGCCGCCGCTGCCGCGCCTCACCTGCCAGTAGCGCTCGCTTCCCAGGAGCTCCGGCGCGTCCGGCGCCGCGATGAGCAGCCCGCCGCGCTCGGGGCCGGGGGTCGCGTGCGCCCAGACCTCCTCGCCCGCTAGGGAGGGGTTTTGGATCTCCAGCAGCCGCATGTTGTCGTCGGAGCGGCGCGCGGACCACTCGGACTCGCCTGGCACACGGGCATGGGGATCCGGGGAGGTGGTGCTTGCACGTCTGTGGCGGGAGGGATGCTTCAAGCGAATAGGTGGCCCCACCCTGCCTGCATTCTGAGCGGGTGCCAGGCCAGTAGCAGTTGGTCGCCTTGCGCAGCGTGATGTTGGCCTCAAATTTGTGTCCAGCGCGACTGCCGTGAGCTGTCCAGCGTCGCTGAGCACGAAGGCACGGCCGCACATGCTGCAGGCAACGGACCCGTGGGGCCACTGCGGTGGGCACGGACGGAGGGCCCTCTTGCTGCGCACCGGACTGCGCCACGAGCTTGGCTCTGAAGGCCCGCCAGTCACCCATGATCTCCGGCGCTGCCTCATCATCGCTGGACGCGGCGCGGCACGCCACGTCCGCGACGCGCCAGGGGTTGTGCTGCTGCAACGACCGGTGCCATGATGGTGCCCGCCAAGGGTTGTGCTGCTGCTGCTGCTGCGACCCGCTGCATGTGCACCCAGATGCGCTATAGGTACGCCTGACATGCATTCTCTATGAGAGACGAGCTCAAGAACGGGTGGTCGTCTTCAGCTCGATCTGGGAGTGTGCCTTAGGACGCTGTGGAGGCGATCACAACTTCGCCAGGCTCTTCTCAGGGTATTACGATGAATGCGCCTGATCAGCACCTCTCCGGTTGATGGTGGGGTGCCACGCCGGGTGACTCTCACAGAGGCTTCAGGGCGCATTCGCAATCCTGGCGCATCTTCAAGTATGGTATACTTCGCGAGCGATGGCGTGCACTTACCCTGCGATGGTCAGAGTGCAGTTGACCGGGTGGCATGGCAAAAAAATGACCCTCCCGGGTTTGCATGCACCTTCTGTTGTTTCAGGACGTTGAAGCCACACAGGGCGGCAAGAGGGGCAACACACTGTACATTGCAGACAGTTTACACAAGCATACTTGTAACATAAGACTACCATCGCAACCCACGCCCGAACTCTCCCGCTGCGAGCAACCGCCGCTACGCGGTGCCCCCACTCGGCCCTACACTCCGCCACTCGCGCCGCCGCCGGCGGTGGCGCAGCAGCTCCCGAGCCAGCCCCTGCAGCAGCGGCACGCTGACCGGCAGGAAGAGGGGCATGTACATCCCGAGCTTGTGGCTGTCCGGGAAGTTGAGCTGAGTCAGAACCGCCGGGTGGAGGAACGCCGCGTCGGCCGCCGCGCGCGCGCCGCGCGCCGCCGCGGATGCCGCGCCGTACGCGCCGCGGCGCGCGTGGGCCAGCGCCTCGGAAAGCGACGCGAGCGCGAACGACACCTGCAGGTCGCGCGGGGCGTGGCGCGCATTGGCGACGGGTGGGGACGAGGTGGGCCGAGTGGGGACTAGGTGGGCTGGGCATAGGCAAGGTGGGCTGGGTGGGGACAGTGCAGGCTGTGCGCAGCACGGCTCCACACCCCCCACTGCCGGGACACTGTCACACCCGCCCCTGCCTCCGCGCACGCACACGCGCCCGGCCGCCGTGAGCAAGAGCCGCCCGGCGGCGGCGGCGCGAAAGCAGGGGCCTGATGCCGCCAACGGCAGACTCGGCAAGCGGCTAGCTGCAGTTCGCTCGGCAGCAGGCCCCCCTCAGCCGGCCTGATTCTCGAGCCAGCCCCCGCCGGCGCTAGATCTCGCCCACCTGCTGCCCTATTAGATCCGGCATCTCGAGATTCGGTAGCTCCTCGACCGCCGCCGCCAGCGACCCCAGCACGCGCGCCGCCTCGGCCGCGTCCGCCGCCGCGCGGCGCCGCACCAGCGCGTCCAC